ATCAAGTCGGCTGTTAAAACTTGTGCATAGTTTGCAAAGTTCTCGTGCTGTGTTTTTCAGCTCCATTAATTCACTTATATTCCTCTCTAAATTGTGTGTTATTGTTAACATTTCACCAAAGCTTTTTTCAAAGTTCCTAGTTTCTTTGCATTGGGTTAGAACAAGTTCTTTTAATTCCCAGAAGTTTCTTAACACCCACCTTTTGAAGCCTGCTTCTGCTAATGGAACATGCTCGTTCTCCATCAGGCCTTGTTCTGTTGCTGATGAGGAACTGTGATCCCCTGTAGAGGGAGAGGTGTTCTGATTTTGGGTATTCTCAGCCTTTTTAGGCTGGTTTCTTCCCTTCGTTATAGATTTATCCATCTCTGGTCTTTATAATTACCGTCTTTATAGTTGGGTTTCTGAGTGGACGTCCAACTTGTTGATTCCCAGCGCTAAAATCTGAGCAACCCACTGCGCTGGCCAAAACAGTGGTGTTAAGATTGATCGTGCTTTCTGATTCTGCACCAAGAACCACTGCACCAAGGCAGTGGCAAAACTGCCTCGTCGGCCTCAAGAGTTGTGCTGGCGACCCGTGGGGCTCCTCCGCTGGGAATCTCCTGGTGCGTGAGCAACAAAAATTGATCTGAAAGTGTGGCGTCCTCTCGTTCTCTGTGCTTTCAGTGGGAGCTACAATCCCGAGCTGCTAGTGATCAGCCATCTTGGATCTCTCCTAATTAAAAAAGTTTTAAGACAGGGTGTGCTCTCTGTCACCTAGGCTGGAGTGCAGTGGTGCCATCATATTATAGATGACTGCAGCCTCTATCTCCAGGGCTCAGTGATCCTCCTGCCTCAGCCTCCCAAAGTGTGGGGATTACAGGCGTGAGCCACTGTACCTGGCTGGAAGTTTTCATCTGATGCGAAATGTGTCTGAGGGAGCAAAGACTCTGGGATGACTGAAGTCAGGCCTGGCAAGCAACCCACACAGGGAGGCTCAGGAACAAGGACTGAAATCCTAATTGATGTCAAACTCATAGTGGAGGTTCACAGTCTCTCCTAGGCAGCAGAAAATGTGCCTGGGATTTGGAATCAAGGGGCTAAACTGTAGTCCCTGGTTTCCCACTCTCTGGCTTCAGTACCTGCTGAATTCTTCCACCTCCTCAAGCCTGGGTTTCCACGTATGTCAAACAAAGACCGTGAAGGTGCCTTTTCTTTAATCATGGTCTATCACATGCCATGAGGGAAAAATCCAAAGCCCTGCTTGGAGGCGAGATGTATTATGAAGGGAAGTCATTGGCTCAGTGGCGGATTCTGAAGCAGGGCGCTGCCGGTTTACAACCCCGTGAGCATTTGCTGGGTGGTAATGAGACTTCTCTCAGATTTACTGAGGTGTCCTTGGCAGAGAGTAAACCTCAGAGGCAGCAGCAGGCTGCTGGGCACAGTGCTGGGTCTGAGCAGATGCTTGTTATTCACCATCCTCTTCTCAGCTCCGGGCCGCGCCCCCGCCAATGAGACAGAAAGTCACCCCACCAGCATCTCGGGAGCTTTAGCAAGGACAACCCAGGAGCCTCAGCGGCTCCTTAGTACATAATGGTTCTAATGGTGTGAACAGCTCTTGCCTATTTGTTTTTAAATGTGGGTTTTATTGTTATTTAGGTACGGCAAGAATGCAGTCATGGAAATGATGAAGACAGTCCGTTACGTTCACAGGGCAAGAGGACAGGACATTCCACGCCACACAGGGCCACATGGAGAGGCACCAGGGTCAATCAGGAAGCAGAGAGAGTGAGGGGAAAATGTGCCAGGCAATTAGGGACAGCCCTGTGCCCTGGAGCCTACAGAAATGACTCACTAGCCAACCCTACACCACCTGCCCTGCCTCACCCACTCCTTCCCACACATGCCACCGTGCAAGCTCCTGCCCAAGGTGCCTGCTCCGTCTGCCTCCCGGGCCATCCTGGGGCTGCCTCGTGTGGCATTGCATGGCATACCTCCCGTTTCTAATTGATATACACACTTCCTCCTCCTTGACATCATTTCCCTGTCTGCCTTCTTACCATACCTGATTAAAACGAGTCTCGTTTGAAAACACACTGATTCGGAAAAGCAATCACTCATGTCAACAAACTAGTAATATTCTCACATAGAGAGTGCCAAAGTTGAAATGGTTCAGTTAATTAACATACCTTGTAGAAGGATTGGAAATAGCTCCATGGTAGATCACATTTCAGATTTAATGACAATAAACTCGTTGGAGAGTCAGTGAGTTAGGATGCAACTCCATTTGCCAAATCGTGGCTGCAGCACAACCTTACATTTGAGTGCCGATAGAAGATCTGATAAAAATCAACAAAAGCACATAGGCTATATGGGATAAAGGCGGTTGTATATTTTGTTATGACTTGCAAATTCTGTGCTATAATGTACTTTGTATGAGTAAAACTTGTAATAAAGTGCCATCAGCATACTTATACACCTCCTTTGTTGCTGGAGAGCCGGTTCTTAGACACTGAGCTGCACACCCATCCCTGCGGCAGTGCTGCAGACATTTCCCAGTCCAGCACCCCACTCGCTTGGCAGCTTTCAGCTCCTGGAGATCCAGCCCGCTCTGTGGCCACAAGCTTCCTTAATACTGTGCCGAGGTCCCAGAGGGGTCCAGGTGCTGGCCAGATCAGTGCGTGCCGAGCAGCTGTGACTATGGGAGGCATAGCTCCTTGTTCTCCTTTTCCCATAACCGATGGTCCAAGTGAGATGAGAAATGCCTGTGCGTGTAAAGCTTATCAAACCTAATTTTAAATTCCCAAAACTGAATTCCACAGAAAGGTCACTCCCAGACACTGTTGCTGGTGTGATATATGGCTGCATGTGCCAGAGTGGCTTTGCAGACAATGGAAACTGAGACTATATCCAGAGGCCGCTTGCTCACAGCTAGAAAAGTCAGTTTGGATCTAGGCTAGAGTGGGGAAACGGTGACGGGCTGAAAGGAACAAGGGCTCCCCTCAGCTGCAGGCATTTGCTAAACCCCGACATAGGAACAGGCTGAACACACCAGCCCTATGCTGGTACAAGTCCTTATGCATCCCTTCATCATCTCCTTCCAGTGTCCCTGGCAAGTGGCTCCCTCAGAGAGGGCATGTACGGACAGGTTTTGCTTTTCTAGGATGTGTGGGGGATGAGTGAGCCAGGGCTAAGCTGGCAAGGAAAAGGGCAGCTTCTATAAACTCTGCAGAATGGACACAGCTGGAGACTGCTCTGGGAAGGGAGGTGCCCTCCCTCTGTCCGGGTGAGCAAACCCAGGAGTGTGAACAGGCTCTTCCCAGCAAGGGGTGTTGGCAGATAGTGGCCCAGGGGATGTCTCTATCCTCCTCAACTGCAGGGGACAGATAAGATCTAGGACACATTTATGTGACGTTAACAGCCAGGAGCCCAGCGTCGCTCTTCTCTTCTGAAAAGTTTCTCATTTTTAAATGTCTCCCTGGATGCCTGGGCTGCCAAAAGAAAGTGCTTTTTATTCACAAATTCTCCTTGTCTTTTCAGTGCTAGGGAGGTAAAGGCTTCCCAATTAGTTAGCAGACAGATAAATGGTGACTTTGATTTTCTTGCTTATAATCAAGAATAATTCTACTAGGCCAGGCGCAGTGGCTCACGCCTGTAATCCAAGCACTTTGGAGGCCAAGGTGGGTGGATCACCTGAGGTCAGGAGTTCAAGACCAGCCTGACCAACATGGTGAAACCTCATCTTAAAAAAAAAAAAAGAATCATTCTCCTAGAAGGATCCATTCTAATATTCTACTACAGAAATCCATAGAGCCTGATTTCTAATTTTCTAATTAAACTGTGTTTATACCCTAGATATTCACACTAATATTGAAGAGTTCTCAGTTTTCTTTTTAACCACAACTGCGACCTTTCAAGTTCCATTTCCTAAGTGTGCCTACTGAAAATAAGGCAGTGTCTTTTTTGCCTGCCAATGTTGTAAAAAATAGGTATTCTGCAAACATGAATTTTAGGAGTAGCATATACTTATTCATCAAGCTCTTAGGATAATTTGCAAAGTTCATCACTTGTTCATTCCTACAATAATTAAACAGAAAAATAAGGCACTGCTCAGAACACACTTGAAACTACCTGAAGACAACTTTAGTACCAAAAAATACTAATGCCTAGCAATATTTACGTCTCAAAACTTGAATAATTTTTCTCATGAACCAATGAACTCCAAGCCAGCCCTCTAATGAAGTTCTACTTTATTTTTATTTAATACTCATTTGAATGTTACATTAAATTCATATTTTCAAAGCAAATAGTTGAAAAGATTGAAAATGCCAATAAACTAATCTACAATATAAAACGTAAAAGTAATTGTATCATGCAGGCTCGTGAACTACAGTGGATTTTAAAAGCTGAAGAGCTCAATGCAAGGGTCCTGTACCCGAGGTGTGCGCTGCTGGGGTCACATCCCGCGTGGCCAAGCCTGTGTACTGTCACCGGGCCTGGCGTCTTGAGCTCGCTGCGCCCACCCCCCTAGACTGGCTGTGGACACGACAGCCTCAGACCGGGCAGCGGCCTGAGAAGGGGTGCTCAGGAGACTGGGGAGGCTGGCCCGGCGCCGCTTTAGGCTGAACTCCGCTGCCTTGCCTGTGCCTTCGTTTCCCACTTAACAGACATGCGAAAGGAAGGCGCTAACGCTGCCGAGGAGGCGGCGCCAGGCTTTCTGGCTCCAGTTCTGCTCTCCCGCTGTTGCCCTGCTGTCTCTACCTACCCGTCACAGCGGTGCTGTGGACACACGTGTCCCTCCCCCAAGGACCTGGAGCCAAAGGAGCTTTCATGAACATGTTTATTACCCAATAAAAATATTCACCCTGTGCTTCTATTTTACAACATAGAAAATGAAAGGCGATGCCCACATCCCGGCCTTCTGAAGGGGCGCGGCTCCCGCTGGGGGACGGAGGGGACGAGGGGCGGAGGAGGGCGCGCGGGCGCATCCCCGCGCAGGAAGCGGTGCAGGAGCGCGCAGGGCAGCAGGAGCAGCAGGCTGGGTGCGCCCCCGGCGCTCGGCCCGTGAGCGCGGGAGGCCAGGAAGTATTTCGGGTCTGGAAAAACAGACAAACCCGAGATGAAAGACATGCGGTGCTGCGGCTCCGTTTGGGGGGTGTATAGAAAAGCCTGCTCCCTGCCTTCTGCAGGCCCTTTCCCGGGGCCTCACTAGGCTCCGCCCCTCGGCCGCGCAGCAGGGCGAGGTGCCGGGAAGCAGGTCTCAGCCCCACGTTGACATCTGCACAGAAGGAAGCCTCTAAATGTTTGTAGAACTTAGAGAGCTGAAGGAGAACTACAGTACTGGTTTAAAAGGGGAACGAAGAACAGCCCTTCAGTCTTTCTCATTTGGCCCGTCACCTTTCAGAGAGTCCCGCTCCAGGTCATTGAGTGATTGGCGCAAATAGACCGTCCATGGTATACGTGGGGCAAACAGACCGGCATAAAACAGTGCCATAGTGTAGAACAGCTCACCGCCATCTGCTGCAACAAAGGTTCCACTTTTCCCCAAATGAGTGCTTGAAATATTTCTTTGACAAGGGACAGTTGATGGAGCAGGAGATGCAGCCATCCAAAGCCAGGCTGCAGTTCTGAGGAGGCCTAGCGCTGTGAGTCGCACCTCCTCGCCCCATGGGACTCACCTGCCGGACCGTTCTCTAGCCCACACCGCTGGTGATAGGAAGCAGCACCTGAATGCCTAGTCCCTGTCCCCCCTCCCCACCCCTCACAGCAGGCCTCACTCATGCTGAACCCTGAGGGTCCCTAAGCCTTGGTCTCTGTGTAGGTGGGACCCCAGTCCAGAACATAGGAATGGGAATCTCTGGAGTGGTGGGGCTGGGCAGGGTCTTGGCTAATGTCCTGGGTGGTGATTGTCATGTGAAGCGGACAACCTTACAGGCATGGCAGCCAACACCACTAGAGCATTCTCACAAGCAAGTCCAGGCCTGGTTTGGAGGGGGGTCAGACTGGTGGGAGAGCATGCCCAACTACAGGGACACTGTCTTCAGGGCCACTCAGCAAAGGCCAGCCATCTCCCTGCCCACCCACCAAGCCTGCCCTGCCTTCCACTACAGCTCCAGGAGATGCCCTCTGGACTTGGGAACCTGGCATGAGCATGAAACTGGAAATTAACAAGGAACTGATGCAGATGAGCCCCCACAGCAAGAACCACTCTCCCCCCGTACACAGGCAGGCTGTACGGGCCTTGGCCAGGTCAGGCCCACTCCAGGCCCGGGTGCCGCCTCCCCATAGCACCCCACCTTGGGAGAGAGGGTTGTTCCAGGGTGCCAGACTCCCTAAACAGGAGTGCCAACATCTAGGCTCAGATGAGGCTCCAGAGAAGCTAATGCTAAGTCAGGCACTCACAGCATAAGCTATTCAGGTAAGAGAAGAGTCAGTAGTACCAGGTCTATGCTGGCCTTTCCCTGAGGGAAGGGGACAGGAGGGCTGGACACAGGGTGCATGCTGACAGGCCCAGAGCCAGCTGGTGCCAGGACCTGCGAGAGCCATTCTGATGGCATCCCAGAGGCCTGGAGACTGGGTCTGGCCCACTGATGTCTGTTTGCTTGTTGGTTGGTTGTTTCTTCCCAGAATTGCATTTTTAAAAATTTTGTTTGCAACAGTGAGGTGGAGTGTTGACCCGGCCCCGTCTCACTTCCATGTTACCTGCCCGTCTCTGAAGACACCTGAGTTGGCTGCCTCACTGTGTCATTCCATAGACTCTAAATTTTAGAGTATTAAATTGTCTCTTGATGCTGGTAAAAACTGATACTTGATGCTTTAGGACCACAGTAGAAAGAGCCACCCCCTCAGACTAACAAGGAGATCCTGGCTAGCTCAGGACTGGCAAAGGTCCCTGCTAGCTTGTAGCTTTTCTTGCTTGGACTCACAGAGCATCTGTCAGAGCAAGGAGGGCTCTTGGAGATCCCCAGACCGGGGGGTCCCTGCAGGAGCCAGCGGGCCATGCTTCTGTAGCAACATTTTCTCTTCCACATACTCTTCAAAACAATCATCATCTCCCAATAAAGGATTTAAAACATTTATTTACCTATTACTGTGCTGTTGGCTTTGGAACATGACCAAATTTTCTATATTCTATATAACACTTTAAAAAATCTTCCTTGTTTTCATATTTATTCTTTCTTTTCTTTTTAAGAGACAGGATCTTTCTCTGTCACCCAGGTTGGAGGGCAGTGGTGCAATCATAGCTCACTCTGACCTGAAACTCCTAGGTTCAAGTGATCCTTCTGCCTCTCAGCCTTCCAAGTAGTTGGGACTACAGGTGCTCATCACCACACCTGGCTAATTTTTACAGTTTTTTGTAGAGACAGGTCTTGCTGTATTGCCCAGGCTGTTCTCAAACTCCTGGCCTCAAGTGATCCTCCTACCTCAGCCTCCCAGAGTTCTGGGATTATTGGCATGATCCACTGTACCCAGTCATATTGACAATTACTCTTACAGGAAGAGTATAAGAATGGCACAAGGTTAAGAATCAGACCCTGTTTACTATCTGCAGAAGTCAATCTCTCTGTGTCTTAGTTTCCTCAAATGTAAAAGGTGCACCTACTTCATTTTATAAGAGTTAAATGGGGTAGTGGGCATATAAAGTGCCTGAAATACACTGAGAGCGTCTCTCCTGCTGTAACACCCAGAAGAGCTCGCCCTACTGCAGTGGCACTTGCCACAGAGGATGTTCAATCCTCATCGCTGTTGTCACCTTCAAGTCCTCATAGCCACCATCAGCACAGCCATCACCAGCATCACTGTAACTTTCCTTGAAGAAGGATCAGTGGGTGAAAGAACACAAAGGGATCACTGCCCTCTCTGCACCTGACAGATGACCCTGAAGGATGACGGCACTATTCTATCCAGCTTTCACAAACAGAGGCCACATTTTCAGAGCCACTGTCACTGTTCTTGGCCGATAGCAATCACAGCACTGGATGTTTCCAAGAATGTAAAATCATGACCGGATATCCTGGAAGTCATCACAGCTAGACCCTTCCCCACGTTCCCACTGGGGCAGCCTAATGGCAGGTGGGAACTGACTTCATCTGTGAGGACCACACAAGCACCCCCTGCAATCCTGATGCCTGCCCGTGAAATCTGCGTCCTCCTGTCTCTGGTGCAGCTGGTGACTTATAGGCAGAGGCCGAGCACGCATAAAAGAAGGGGTGCTTTGGGAAAATGTGATCTGCATGTGGAGAGCGCTCTCCTCCTGGCACCATGGAGAGCTAGCTGAGAAGAGAGCTGGATGGGAAGTGGGGCTGAGGGCTGCGCCTCTATTAAGAGTGTCCTTTGACTGCTGGTCCCATCAGGGAGAGAAGGGAGGGCAGGAAGGGAAGGAGAGCAAAGCATACATTAAGTGTGCTCCCCACTGCGGGCCTCCAAGAGCAAGAGGGAGGCTGGGGAAGCCAGGTTGAAGATCTTTGGCCCCCGGTGCTGCCCTCCACACAGCCGGACAGGACGGCCTGAGGACAACGGGTGGGAAGTCGGGTTGCAGAGCTGTGCCCTTTGGCAGGTGGAGGTGTCCAGGGCTCACTGAGGTGGAGGGAGGGGGCAGGAGAGTGGCTGCGGGGCCTTGGCTTCATCAGGTGTGCCCCTGGACACTGCACCACCAGACCACCCAGGCCTGGGAGAGGGCAGAGCCGGGTCTAGGGTGGAGAGGCTGGGCCTTCACTACTGTGCCCTCCATTTTTAGCCCTAGCCCGTGCTCCCGGAAGAGAAGAGAGGAGGAAAGGCACAGCTGAGCGGACACGGTGCAGGGAAACCACCTGAAATTTACACAGCTAACTTGTCTCCTAGGTTCCTCTCTGCTTACCAGCTGGTCATCTCCTGAAATTCGGCTCACTGAAACAGACACGTGAGAACACTTTGGAAATCATTTTTAAACAGCATTCTGGATATAAGCAACTTCAAAACCAACTTTAATTCACTATACGATTCCCAATGAACGCTACTTTGTTCAATGACGAATCAGTCTGGTTTGCTGACTGCTATGTGGCCTGGCACTGAAAGATGCACTGTGGATGGATATGGAGGGTGAGCCGATGAAGGCGCAATGGCATGCGGGGGTAAGCTGGGGGCCGAATCGCGGGGCTTCTTACCACAGTGGCCAGGCGTCTGGAGGGGGAGGCAGTGCAGGGCCCCGAAGACGCACCTGCAGAGGTGGCAGCCGCGGAGGGTCCAGGCTCCGTGTCCCAGGGAGCCGCATTCACTGAGGAGACAGATGGGGACCTGAGTCAGTGCGGTGGCCCGCGCGCCCCTCGCCCGGCGCCCACTCCCACGTCAACCCTCCCCACCCCCCGCGCCACTGGCGCATCCCTTCCCCGGTGCCCACTCCCTCGACCCCCAAGACCGGCACATCCGTCCCCAAGCGCCCACTCCCGCGCTCCCCAAGAGCCACGCGTCCCTCGCCCGGCGCCCACTCCTGTCCCCCCGCCCCTGTGCCCACCTGCGCCTCTGGTCGTGCTCGCAATAGCGGCCGGTGAAGTGGGCCGGGCACACGCAGAAGCTGCCCAGCACGCAGGTGCCGCCGTTCCGGCAGCAGCGTGGCCTCCCGGGCGCACCTGAGGGATCACCCCAGCGTCAGCCCCGCGCTCCCCACGTCCCGCGGCCCTCGGCCCTCAGGGTTCTCCCGCAGGGAAGAGGCCGAACGTGGCCGCCCCGGGGAGGCAATAAAATCAGCTCCCCGCCAAGTGTGTTTGCTCAGGTAAACCCTGCTTGTTAGGGATGTGAAACAAACTAACGGGTGCAGCCTGCAAGCCGGGTTTGCTCCCTCCCTGCCTTTCACATGTTAACCTCAGGCTGTGGCTTCACCTGACAGTGATTAAGCACAGGCCTCCCGGGCGGGACCACCCACGGGTGTAGTGACGCCAAACCCACCGGTGAGGGGCCTCCTGGGGAGGCGGGCCCAGCCGGCGTCTGCGATAAACCAAGTTAGGGTCCGCTGTTATCTGGGCTTGGGGTATTTATTTTCCACACATTTAAATCACAGTTCTCTAGATCTGCAGCAAAATAGCCATTGAATAGCAAATACAACCTTTTACCAATGAAAGAGTAAAACTTTTAGTTAACACCTCACTGGGAGCTGTCTCTAGCTGTATAGCTTTGTAAGTGCATCATTATTTGAAGATAACAAAATGCTCTTCTTGGGTTTTATCCTGAATTTATCCTAGGTATTCTCAGATCTTAAACTCTGAGTTCGCAGACCGAGATGATGCCCTGGATTTTGTGGGCTGCGCGGCAACTCACCCTCTCGGAAAGCTCCGGTGTAGGGGAACCGCTCCCCCGGCCTCCAGCCGTCCTCGCTCCCAGTCACCTCCCCGACATGACCCGAGGTCCAGTTGAGCGGTGTCTGTTGCTGCTTCAGGGCCGCAGCCTTGGTGACTTCCCCTCTACCGCCGTGATGTTGCTCTATTTGATAGCCTTTCAGAAATACTGAAAATGTGAGACTGATAATGATTGAGAATCAAATATTTTATGCAATTAAAACTGAGACTATGAATAAAGTGTTTCTTACTGTTTCCCAAGTTGATGATCCATAATGCGAAACTGATCATAAACAGAAGCCTAGAATATTTAAAGAAAATCATTGAAGTTTAAAATACCTTTAAAAGTATAAGCAGAAATTCACATATACATAAAATACAATGCAATCATTATATATAAATATTAAATTATGTAAAATATTTAATTATGAATAATGCAATCATTTTGTAACTTGTGGGTTTTTATTAATGTTGCTATGGCTTAGAAAGATTTTGAGACAGAAAGTGTACACCTCCTCTGATGAACAGTCAAGCAGGTACTATGATTTATTCTGAGGCTCTTGAGACCCCCTTCTTGGCTCTAAGATCTCATGACCTGAGTTCCTTACCTGACATGGTGCCTCCAGGTCATTTTTGGTTTCTCCTCTCTTAGTGCACTGAAGATTAGTTTCCAGAAAAGCTGTGTCTGAAGAGCCTCTGCATTTGAGGGTGTCTTGACTCCAGGCCCCGGAGACACAGAATGGAGGAGTACAGAAGATGCGCCGTTCCCTTCCCTTCCTCAGCCAGGAGAAACAGGATGGAATCTTGAGTTCTGCAGCCCCTCAGCTACGGTTGGGCTTGTGGTGACAGGCGGGCCCCTCTGAGCCTGAAGGCCGATCCCCTCTGTGACACCTGGCTAGGGGTGGGGACTCGGGCTGACTCCCCCCCAGCAGTATTTACAGTGCTGATAGCAGCAGGAGTGATCAATCTCTGATGTAAAACGTTGGTATCCAAGGTGATGAGCCATTTTCTCACTGAGAGAGAGAAAAAAAAAAATCCCAACATGGGAAAAAGCTTTCATAGGAAGGTGGAGATTTTCTATTGCATATACTTTGTACTGGGAGATGGTGAGGGGCCCTGTGAGGGAGGGAGCCACTGTGTGGGGCACAGTCAACAGCCTTGGGTCCCAGCTGCCCTGAGTGGGGAACACGAGGATAAGAGAAAACATGTGACTCCTGCTTTAAGAGAGGCTCCCTCACTCCACAAATGGAGCCTCTTCTCTGTGCCCACCAAGTGGGGGAAGGGCACTGCCCCATTTACTATAGGACCTCTTGGGTAGGCCCTGTTACTCCTCACCACGTGGAAAGAGAGAAAGGGAGGCTTAGAGAGTTTAAGTCCCTTGGCAGTTAGATCTCTGAAAAACACGAAGGGCACAGACATGTTGAGGAGACATCCACAGTTATCCAAGGCAACTACGCGAGCCCTCGGAAGCACAGGCGAAACTGTGGTGCTCATGCGTCGCCAAGGAGCCTGCTGAATCCAACTGAACCCAAGGAGGGAGTGATCTGGGGCCTCTTCTAGCACCTTCTAAGTCTCAGTTCTTCTGACTACCAAAATAGGGATGGAGGCCCTGTTATCAGCACTAAACAAGACACCTTGCAACTCAGAGTTGCAAATTGTCTGTGATTTTAATATAAAAGCTCATTTCTAAAAATAGTATTCTTCCTCCAAGGCTGAAATAGTCTTTGATGGTGATTTAATTTCTTACACCTTTAGATGTGAGGTTTATTAAAGAGGCTGTGAAATAAAGCAATAAGAAATTGAAGGACCGGGTTGCCCTGGGGCCTCCCAGCAGTGGGTCCTGTGGGATTCGCCTGCCTCGGCCTCCCAAAGTGCTGGGTTTACAGGTGTGAGCCACTGCACCTGGCCAAATCACGACATTTCATATGTAGAATAAGGCTTTGAAAATCTGCAGTTTGGCCAGGCTCAGTGGCTCATGCCTATAATCCCAGCACTTTGGGAGGCTGAGGCAGGAGGATCACCTGAGGTCAGGAGTTCGAGACCAGCCTGGCCAACATAGTGAAACCCTGTCTCTACTAAAAACACAAAAATCAGCCAGGTGTGATGGCATATGCCTGTAATCCCAGTGACTTGGGAGGTTGAGGCAGGAGGATGGCTTAAATCTGGGAGGTGGAGGTTGCAGTGAGCCGAGATTGCACCACTGCACTCTAGCCTGAGTGACAGAGCAAGACTCAAAAAAGAAAGAAAAGAAAAGAAAATCTGCAGTTTATATGTGGAAGAAAAAAAAGAAATGTCTTGCCAGCAAGACCAAACTGAGAGACAAGAAGCAGCAATGCGCTGTGCCTGTACTGTCTGCCCAAGCTCTGCAGTGGACCCGGAGGAGAAGGGCTGATGTCCGGGGAGATAAAGCTTCTGATGATCTATTTTTGCCAGACTGTCACTTGCTCTCCACACAAAGCTTTGTGGTCCCAGGTTGCCTCCTTGCCTGAAAGTTCCTATAAAAGGGTTTTGCATTTTACTGCAGGGGAGCTGCCCTGTTTGCCTTCAAGAGCCCCAGCTGGAAGGGTTGCCTGGGAACACTGGAAGGGGGAGGTGGGTCCCTGCCAGGAAAAGGCCTCTTTTCTCCTTATCAGCTGTAAACAGATAAGGCTGGAGCCGGCCCACCCATCAAAACCCCAGTGGAATGTTCTGGCTCATAGAGTGTGTGGGACTGGAACCCTGTGCCAGGACTGGAGGAGCCCCCAGGGTACTCAGCACATCCGTCAAGAGGAAAACATTCTACAACAAATTAGGTGAGAAGGGATCTCTGAGGAGGACTTTACAGCGGTGGCTGTCCAGGCGGGCTGCCCCGTGGCATCTGTGGGAGTGAGAAACCGCTTTCTCCACCCTCCTGGCTTCTTTGCAGGCCTGCTTTCTGTCTCCACACATTTTCCTCATCTAGATATTGCAAGTGAGGAGAATCATGCAGTACTGTCCCTTTGCGTCCAGCCTATGCCACGTAGCATAATGTCTTAGGTCCATCCGGGCTGCAGTGCCTATCACAGCTTCAGTTGTCTTGTGACTGAGTCATAAATATTTCACTACACCCATCCACCACGTTTTGTCTGTCATCTGTTGATGCAATTTGGTTTTTCTGCCCGTTGGAAGAGCACAGTGAGAAGATGTCTATCTACATGCCGAGGAGGGAGGCCTCCAGATGGTGTCTCCTTGATCCCAGACTTCCAGCCTCCAGAGCTGTGAGAGGATACACTTCTGTGGGTTAGGCCTCCCGGCCTGCGGCATTTGGTTAGGGCAGCCCGAGCTGACAGATGCCAGGTTTTTGTTTTCCCATGATTGTTAGGTATTATATAATTGTGTAATTTTTGCTGCATGTAGAGGGCATTTGTACTGGAGGCTTTCTAGAAGTACAGACAGCATCTTTTAGTCAGGGTTCTTACACGGACATTTCCATTCATGGGGAACCCTGCAGACAGTCCTCACTGGCTGATCTTCCTTTAAATCAAACGGTGAACCTGAACATTGCCGTGTGCCCCTTCAGAAAGCCCGGAGATGCTCATCCTGGCAACCAGACCGTGACCGTGATGGACAGACACCACCTCCCCAAGCAGCCGGCCTCCAGGACCAAAATTCTTTCTCCAGATGATGCTATGCTCAGATAAGGACCTTTATTAATTATACCAATTTATTATTTAGTATAATTAGCAATGCTTTTAGTCTGTAAGTCATACACAAAACCCGTCAGAAAAGATGTACTTGAACAAAATATGGTGCAGAAAGCAAAAGTTCCCTGAAGGAAAAATGCAAGCTGAAATGCACCTTAAGAGAGAGACTGGATCTTTCTTTTTTTAGTTATTATTTTTTATTGCATTTTAGGTTTTGGAGTACATGTGAAGAACATGCAAGATTGTTGCATAGGTACACACGTGGCAGTGTGATGTGCTGCCTTCCTCGCCATCACCTATACCTGGCATTTCTCCCCATGTTATCTCTCCCCAGCTCCCCACCCCCTACTGTCCCTCCCCTACTTCCCCCCAACAGACCCCAGTGTGTGATGCTCCCCTCCCTGTGTCCATGTGTTCTCGTTGTTCAACACCCGCCTATGAGTGAGAACATGCGGTGTTTGATTTTCTGTTCTTGTGTCAGTTTGCTGAGAATGATGGTTTCCAGGTTTACCCATGTCCCTACAAAGGAGATGAACTCATTTTTGATGGCTGCATAGTATTCCATGGTGTATATGTGCCATGAGACTGGATCTTTCAGGGCCAGCAGGGAGGCAGCAGTCGCATGCTGAAGGACAGGCCTGGAGTGCGGGGCCCTCCTGGGAGCGCGGGCTCTGGAGGGAATCTGCCAGTCCTCAGCACCGGGCTCAGAGCAGTGCCAGTGCCGCTGCAGAGCCCTCGGGACTGGGATGGAGAGAAGCACCCTCCCTCAGGAGCTTCCCATTCAACTGGGTGGCAGCCAGGAAACAGCCAGGACCCTGCAGTGCTTGAGTGCTTTGACCAGAAGCATCTGAGGTCTTACTCTGTGTGTGTGTGTGTGTGTGTGTGTGTGTGTGTGTGTGTGTGTGTGTAGACACCAAGTTGAAGTGTTAAGGAAGAGGTAGGAGGGGACTGGAGAGGTCCTTCCTGCCCCTTTCCTTCCCCTGCTCCTTCCCGAGCCCCCTCCTTTCCTCTCTCTTCCCCTCCTCCTCCCCTCATTACCGGAGCTCTTGGGTCACTCAGGGTTAATGTCAGATTTAGGGCACTGAGCTCGTGATTGTAAGTCTCAGTTCACTTGAGGCTCCCCTGGAGCCCCCACATCCTCCACGTCTGCCCCGTGGCCTCTCCCCTGCACCGGCACCTATGGCATCCCTTAGGACAGGAGGAAGAGGGTGGGAGAGTGGAGCCCCCACCTTCTGTGAGTTGTTCCTGTTACAGGTGAGTCCAGGTCCACTCTCAGGGGAGCGGTTGCACAGCTGCGTGAAGACCAGGAAGCACTCTTTGGGCCCTGTCAGAGACTCAGCCACATCCATAGATTAAACTCATTTTGCCAGATTTTCTATTTTGTTTTTGGTGAAGAATTTTAAAGTAAATTATATATATCATGACATCTTCTTCCCTCTGAGTATTTCCATAATTAGGATGTCTGAAAGTGAGGCTGGGTTCCTGCATCACCACAAATCTGTATGAGACCAACCAGAATTAACAAAGGTGCTCCAGGACCCCGGGCCAGCCATCCATTTGGGGATGAGATGCCTTTTGTCTCAGAATCCCCAGTTGTAAGCCCCATGAACCCTCAGTTCATATCTCAGTCTTCCTTTTTATTGGATTTTGTTCTCAATTTCTAACTTCTAAACTCGTCATTAGATTATATTTAATTTAATTATATTTGTTAAAGCTGATTTATTCTAAAATTTGATGAAGCCAAAGTCTGGGTTTTGGCTCAATATAATAAGAACCACTTAATTACAAACATTTCTGCAGGGTTTTGCTAACCTGTGTTTTGTTCTCAGTATATCCACGCTGGGCACGGTGGCTCACGCCTGTAATCCCAGCACTTTGGGAGGCCGGGGCAGGTGAATCATGAGGTCAAGAGATCGAGACTATCCTGGCCAACATAGTGAAACCCCTTCTCTACTAAAAAAATACAAAAATTAGCTGGGCGTGGTGGCGCATGCCGTTAGTCCCAGCTACTTCGGAGGCTGAGGCAGGAAAATCTCTTGAACCAGGGAGCCAGAGGTTTCAGTGAGCTGAGATCGTGCCACTGCAGTCCAGCCTGGTGACAAAGTGAGACTCTGTCTCAAAAAGAAAAAAAGTTGTCTTCTATGTGAAGCATTTCTATACAGATCTACAACAAGAATTAACTTTAAAGTTAGTATTTTATTGGGGGATGATGCCCTGCTGATTAAACTCTGTGAATCAACCGCATTTGCTCATTGACAGCACTTGGCAGCAAAAGAGCTTGACCCCAGTTCCTCCAGATTGCACACCAGTGTTGTGGCTTTCACAGAGAAACTCACAGGGTGCGTG